TAAAAGTGTATACAAAAAGATAATTTAGAAATGGGAGTTACCAGCAGATAATAAAACCAATTGTTAATTATTTAGAATTCACTTCTTGTGATCGAAGCCCCTAATCACCAAGAGACATTGTTCTCTCAATAATACTCATAAAATATAGCCAATATGTTTCTCAGACGATATTCCAATACATATATCAACCCCATTAATATCGTCTTAATCAAGGTACTAGTGAAATTGCCGTTATAAACGTAGAATATGCAAATTTTATTGTTCACTAGACCTCAGGCAAATACAAAGTTTTCTATCTGCCTGCGAGAGCTCGCGTACTCGCTATCTAAACCGACCGCTTTTTCCCTAGCGCAAAAAGTTTTCGCTATAAATTCTTTTTATTTGTTGTCGTGCCTCAATTAATAATAATGATAATGTTTAATTTTTAACCCCGAAATGATGTTATAGACCGGTAATTGGAAATTTAGATTATAAAAATGTAATAAAATAAAGGTGTAAAACAAATGTCTTTATTAGCATCAAACATTCAATGCAACTTTTGCAAGAAAAATCATATGATCTATAATTGTGAACAATTTTTAAAGATTGCAATTCCTGAAAGAATTCAACGGATAAAAGATTTAAAACTATGTAATAACTGTTTATGTTTTGGTCATAGATATAATGACTGCAAAGAAGGTAAATGCAAAAAATGCCATCAAAAACATAGTACTTTATTACATCTTGACAAACAGCACATACATCCACAAACATCATATCAAGTTTCAGAAGTTGCACTAACTAGTAACATCAACAATGATTCTGTTTTGCTTTCTACAGTGTGTATATCTATAGCTGATCATACTAGATTCAGGCTCGCAGTCTAGTTTTATCTCTTCTAGTCTATGCAGTCGACTTAAATTGAATAAATACTCAGAAAATATTTCAATTATGGGTATTAACAATGTTTCCTTTAATTTAAAACACAAATGTGACATTTCAGTGCAATCCTTGAATAGCAATTTTTCTGCAATTATTTCTTGTTTTGTGCTAAATAGTATCACCGAAAATTTGCCAATTTCAAAGATAAACATTGAGTCATGGAATATTACCAATGATATCCAATTAGCTGATCCGCAATTCAATGAGCAGGGAGAAATTCATCTTCTTATTGGTGCTGAACTGAAATCGGTGTTCGCTCCGTCTCCCCCCTACCAATTTCTCGTTTCCGTTTTGATTCGCGCTGTGACTGTCAAAAGCGAAATGGCTGCATGAACTTTGATGGAAAATTTGTGCGTTATTTGAAGCATCCGCAAGGGATACTTTTTCATCGAGGTTCAAAATAATTCTCCAGTGTAGTGTGGGGTACTGTAAAGGACCGTGTAACCTGCAACACTTTTCAAATATATACACGATTTTTGACAAGAAGTCTTAACTATATTTTTTTCAAAAAAATACCATTAGGTAGGTCTGTAGCTATACTTTAACTTTAAAGTGTGTTTTTTTCATTTCAGACAAAATTTCATAGGAAAAAAAATAAAAATGGGGTGTTGCAAGTTAGGTACAGGGGACTCCCTACTTGGAACAGTATACATTTTTGGTTTAAAATCATGTTCTATTCATGTAAATTTATCTTGCAACAGCAGAAATATATAAAAGGACGTCATTGCCATCTTTTAGGGCTAAAAAAATTGTTTTTCCCCAAAAATTGTCTTTTTTAGAATAAAAATTAAACATATGTAAAACAAACCTTTAATTGTATTTTAAAATGTAAAACAGTTATCAAAAATGTTCACATGAGAATAAAAAACAACTCTAAAGTAAAATATACATAACAAAGTATAAAAAAACTAAATAAAAACATATTTGCTTTTAAAAATAAAGCACAAAATAAATAAAATAAATCTAAAATCCAATTTCTTATAGTCTAGTGCTTTTTGTAATGTTTCATCGCTAAAATTGCGATAATGTATTGCGCCTAGAGTTCTTCTCTGCGTTTTAGACATGTTGCAAGTTAGGTGCAAAATACAATTTTCTGGAAAAAAATTCCCATTTTACTAGGATCTTAAGTTGCAACAAATTTGCGTGTGGCATAACCTTATCAATACAATACTTGTCAAAATCTAAAACAGCGATAGTTTAGGCTCTACAGGAGAAGTTTTCAAGGTATATTTTACGTGATATTACTACACCCAAAGAATATGGCGGGAAAATCTTGTAAAACTTACCGGTTTTACCGCGAAAATCACACCACCACCTGCTCTTATCACAGCCTGAGCTAGACTGACCCAGAGCGCGGTAGTCCATTGAAATGAAGGCTAAACCTCCATTTTTTCCTCTGTCGATCAAACCTGGGCGCAAATATGTATTCGACCCTCAGGAATCCGAATCCGCAAAAATTTTTGACCTAGGTGGTCAGGAAAGGGGTCAAAAGGTCAAAAAACCGTAAAAAATAAGGTTTTTCGCAAATATCTCGTAAACTACGGCAAGTAGCAAAAAAATAATTGCACCATCGTGTTCCCAGGGAAATTTTACATCGATTTTATGCTATTGCTTATTAAAATTAAATAAATTTATGTCATCTTTTGGACAATTACTAAGCACGAGAGGGGAAGTGTATATCTCCGGCGGTGGGGAGTAGTACAGCGCGCACCCTACATGTATCGGCTGACTCGCAGTCGACAGCTCTAGCAGGTGTGCCTGTTTGGAATATAATGCGATTTCAAATATAATTAGCCTGCAGTTGTAGTGGATTTTTTTTTGCTACTTTAATTTTTAAATGAAAAACCAAAAATATTACTAATGATTAATGAATGAACAGAAAAAAATTTTTAGAATGAAATACTTATTGCAAAAATGAAATATACAGGGTGTCCCGAAATTAGGGGGTAATATTTCTACAGGGTGTTCTGTGTCGAAAAAGATTACTTTTTCTTTATATAAACGTGGGTCCAAAAATTCTTCCTAAATTTACCATAACTTTTTTGTGCGTTGACTTTTTTTAACTTTTGAAAAGTATGAAATTTCATGATTTTTTATTAAAAAAAGGTACTCTTGGTTCATATTGGTAGAATGTTCCATTTTTGTGTAAAATCCGTTTAAAAATAATGTTATATGTGTTAATCATCGGGAATTGAAATTGTCAATATCGCAGATTTTGAATAACAAATATGCGTTTGACGTTATTTGCATTGACAGTTCAGTTATTTAGTTTTTGTGAATTGTTATCTTCATAAAAATTCTCGAATCTTTAGTAAATGATTATTTGACAAAGAAAAAAAAAACAAATTATTTGCAGCCAAATAAATGAATCCTCTGTTGTAATTCTTCCAAATGATTTATTTCTGTAGCATAAACTACAGCCTTCAACCTACCCCACAGAAAGTAATCTAGAGGATATAGGTCTAGAGACCGAGGTGGCCATGGAATGGGACCATCTCTACCTATCCACTTGAAAGGAAAATTACCGTTTAACCAATTTATGACATTATGGGTAAAGAGAGGTTGTTGATAGTGTAATGTTAAGCGTACTTTTAACGGTGTATCATCCAATAGTTCTCTTACATCATTTTGCAGAAAGTTTAAGTATCCTTCTGTATTCAGACAAACGGGAAACTGGATTGGTCCAAGTAGCTAGGTCCCCTAAAATTCCTGTTCACAAATTTATTGCAAATCTATTTTGAAAATTTGTGCGCTGTATTGCCTGTATTTAATGGATTTTATACAAAAATGGAACATTCTACCAATATGAAACAAGAGTACCTTTTTTTACTAAAAAACTGAAATTTCATACTTTTCAGTCAAAAGTCAAAAAAGTCAACGCATAAAAAAGTTATGGTAAATTTTACCCCCCTCCCCCCCAGTGTTGGAACGTATGTGATGAAAATTTGTAAATTTCGTTTCAGTAGCGGACTGAACACGTAAGAGTTAAGCTAATTACCAAATTTTATAAATTTATCTCTACTGGTTTCGGAGTTATTTAGAAAAAACCATCATCAGATTGTCCCCTTTAATCGGCTATAACTTCCTTAGGAAGAATTTTTGGGCCCACATTTATATAAAGAAAAAGTATTATTTCTCGACATAGAACGCCCTGTAGAAATGTTGCCCCTAATTTCGGGACACCCTGTAGTTCTCTGAAAAATTGACTAGTAAAGCCAATTCTACAAATACTTGTTCATAAAAAAAGTAAAAATTTGTATAAACAATTCTTCACAGAATGACAACCTTTTATTTCTTAATTTTAAAGATAGTAAACTTTTGAGGAATTGAATAATGAATAAAATAAGCCTAGTAGTCCGGACGAATTAGGTTTTTTTTCAAAAATCGGGCCTACCTCGAATTTTATGGGCTTAAAATTAAGTAAAAAATACACAGAATAAAAGCCTAAATTTGTGTATTTGTAGATATCGAGCGTCATATTGTTTATAACAAAAGAAAATAATATAATTGCTTTTCTTCAGTTTTTCGCTTATATCTCCGAAAATAAGCCTCTAATCGATATGAAGTATACTTCATGATTTTGTTCCTGAGGAAATTTGCTACAAGGGTAGATTTTTGCGAAAGCTCACAACATTTTTTTTATATTGCAAAATTAGCGGCGAAAAGAAAAATGTGCCCAAGTCAAGATATCGAAATTCGGCTGAAAAGAATCGAAAGGTAATTACATTATCTCGCGTCTGTGCAAATGTCAGATNGTAAAACGTGACGTCGTGACGGTTATCCATGGATACCCGTCACGTCGTCATGTTTTACGTGACGTAAAACGTGACGTCTTATGTTACCCGATATGTTGTCTATTTAACAGCAGTTTCATGCTTGTTCAATTAAACAGGAGTAGTTTTATTTTGTTTTTATTGTTCTTTTCATATGTTAGTACGAGAAAATTGCATCTCAAACACACAGTTACGAGGAAAAATAAAACACAGGCGTTGTAGATATATTTTTATTAAATAAATTACACATTCTACATTCAATAACAGATTGCATGAATTCCTTAGCGTCTGGAACTTAAATGAGCTTTATTCTTCCATAATAGAGTAGTGGCCCCATGGTAAAGTTACATACGACCCCTTTATCAAATAGCGTTTATCATCGTGCGGACTCAAAGCTATTTTTTCCTGAGTCATTGTGAAGACTGCATGTTTTTCGGATTTTATTAAATTTTGTCTGATATATTTATTTTTAAAATTATCGACACACTCGAGGTAATCCTCGAGCGTGATGATGTTTTTGATTATAGATTTTTTTATACCCTTGATCTTCTTTGTTAAAGCCATGTCATCGTCAACAGCTCGTTTAACCATATACATTTTAGATCTAAGACCTACGAAAAGTTCCATAGGGACACCATTAAACTCATCCTTCATCATACCCAAGACTTTTTTATTGACTTGAGGGATGTTATACCTATTGTCAGGGGGGTAGTCCGATGTGTCGAAACGGGTATGACAGTCGCGACGCATGACTTCATAGACATCTTTATCGGTGATTTCATATATCAGCGAGTCGGTGTCGGTATAAAGGACTGAGCAGTCGTTACCAAACTCGGGCACCATATAATCATAGTGAAAATCATATATGGTGGTTTTGGCCAGATCCAAAATCGACATACCAACGTATATCGGCTTGTTGAAGAAGACCTCGGTCTTATTTAACTCAATAGCCACCAAATTCTCATTGAAAATTGTGGCTGCCTTGAACTCTGGCTTCGCGATTAAGGCCTCCGCGCCATAACGCCCCTCCCATTTATTAACTAATTTCACTATGGAGTGTTTTCTAATATTTTCCATCGTTTTTCCGAACACAGCATTATTCATAAGCTTAAATAAGTTCTTTTCAAACTCGTTTTTAGCTGTCTGACGTAATGCTGTATTCAGATCAATGTAAGACTTAAGCCATGGAGACTGTTTGAATTTCAATACGCGGTGAATTTTTGTAAGCTTAAGACCCTGCTTTAATGCCTGTTTTAAAGCTCTGTAGTGAATAACGTACCGCGTCTTATTATGAAGGGTGGCTAAAAGTTTAAAATTTTTACATCCGGGGGGAGCGCTATGTTCGGGGCAGAAAGGCAAGTCGCGATGTAAGTCATGTATATGAGTCGGATATTCCAAGTCAACTTCAAGCAAATACCCTTCAGAAGAAGTATCGGATACGTTGGTGACGTCGATGTTGGAATTTACCCACTCGAACCCGCCGTATGGTAAGTACTGGCTCATAGCCCAACCGTATTGATTGTTGATATCAAAATATGTTAAATACTTTACCGGTTTACTCGGGTCGAAATTTGAAAGATACTTGTTGTTTGCTACGCTTTTTCGCTTAGAACATTGACTTAGCCCTCCGCGAATTCCCCGTTCGATAAACATTAACATATCGATATCGGTCAAAAGTTCTAATGTCTGGCGTGTCTTAAACAGCATACTGTCCCAGGTGTATCCAGGTAGGGTGTAGTAATTAGCCGGATCAAGACCGTATGTCTTGTGGCAACTGCTGCGAAACTGCTCAAACACGTCAGCCAAAAGTAAAATGTCCGTTTTCATGTATAAGTCCGTGTACTCACCTAAATTTTGAATTTTGAATGTATTCCAAACTTTTTGTGCGTGCGCGAACTGTTTAGACGAAATGTTCTTGTCCTCTAAACGGTTATAAAAGTGCGGCTGTTCCGGCAGAGACTGGATATTAAATTTAGCAAAGCTATCCATGAAGTCATACGGATACTCCCCCTTTTTCGTTAATAAAGTAAACTCATCGTCGGCTAGTTCAGAAAACTCTGATTTTAAATTTGGAAACTCGGTTAAGTATGATGATAGCGTATCTAATGCGGAATTCATGAAACGGAAAGAGTCAATAAACCGGAATTTAATTAAATTTTGATCTAAATTTTTTGTGAAAGAAATGTATTTTTCCTTTGTTATCGGAAGTACATCAACCCTACCCGGCAGGTCATTCGCGATATTTTCCAAAATAAAATGTGCATCGTACCCGCTCAGGTTGTGAAAGACAACAGGTATAACAACCCCATCCTTGTAATTAATGTTACACCCGCTGTGCGCGGCGCCTCTATAGTTATTTTCCGGAGACAAATGAAAATGGTCGCGGACTTTAACGTCCTCTGGCTTAAACGGCTGTTCACAGATGTGGCAATGAGTGGCTTTATGAAATTCAGCTTCTTGCGCTGATGTCATGGAAATATTGTAAGGGCATAAGAAAACTGTTTCTACGTCCTCGGCGAACGCAGACATTTCGCGAGCGAACCAAGACATGCAGTCCTCACCACGATAAGATCTATAAAATGATAATGACGGATCGTATGAACACTTTACGTAGTAGCCTATGGCAGCAGGCACATGACGTTGGTACTTGTTGCCGGAGTCCTCCTCTATCAGAACACTCTCGAGGTCGGCGTAGATGGTAAAGGGGACCTTTTCTTTATTTTTATAGTTTTTAAATTTTAGGTCTTTTTGATCTTCCGGAGGTAATCGCACCCTGCAATCATTCTGATTTTTGCAGTCGATGTAGTGTATATCTAGCTTCTCTTGGGTGTAGAAGTAATGTAAGCATCTGTCGCAGAAGTATTTCTTAGCATGATGTTCGCTAAGTTGAGACGATAAGAGGCGCGATAGATCCTTTATCCAGACGTAGTGGTATCTCGCAGATGTAGTACTCTCATCCTCAGCCTCATCAGCGTACATATCTTGTATTAAAAGCAGATTGACATGCGTATCTTTTTTGTTCTTCGTTAAGTATGTCGGGAGGGTAGTAAAGCCTTTCGACATCTTTTTAAGTATGTAAACGTTGACCGATACCCCGTTTTGCTTTTCAAACCTGGGTATCTGCTTCATTGTCATTGGGAACTGGATACCTTTTAAATTTAGAACCGATGAGGGTTGAGGGTAAGACGAAATCCTATCGGGGTGATTTCGAAAATCAACTGCATACAAGGCCGATGTCACCGCCCACGCGAAGCAGGCGTCGTCACCATTTTTTACGTTGACGCATGCCTGCTTCTTCTTAATTGATGTAGGTAAGTTGATGTACGATGATCCCAGCTGTGGCGTGAACTTGTTTATATTGATTCCCAAATTGGTTATTGAATTTAATGCCCAACCAATATCACGCTCCTGGAATTCATCGAGCTCCGTAGAAATCGGTGTCACTACATGTTCTTGAAACCATGTCTCCAGATTAGTATCACGATAAATTGGTGAATTCTTCGTTGTGAAATACTTTGGCTCCTCAAGAATTCTATCGGCTTTTTGCAACCGAAACTGTCCGCTGAATGCCGCGTTGACCTTAATACTGCGAAGCTGTCCTTGAGGAACTCCTTGGGGTCCTTATGCTTTATATTTGTGATGACTCCTGTTCGAATACGTCCATCAAATGCATTAGCTGAATCATCCCAATGGACGTGATGCTTAACAGTTTTCTTAGGGTCGGTAGAACAGCTGGCACCCGTCTTCTTTAAGGACTTAAACTGACATCTAAAGGATTTTATTTGGGCCAGCTGTGTCAATAGATGCTGCTTTTCGCCGACTGTCTTGACAGTTTTCAACTGATATTTTATATTTCGCACAGCTTTCGTGCACTGCCGAAGTCCATCTCTAACGGTTTCTTCACAATATGATTGTTTTAAAACACCGAGTAGGGTACATATTTGGTAATACAAATACTTCAGAATATCTGATGCAGCCATGATGCTATCACTTCAAAGACTGATGATAAACTGATTAGAAGGCGGTAGTAGAGGTGTAGTTATTATCTTTCAGCTAACTAGTGTCGGTGAGATATAATTTTGATACCTGAAAAGAGGTCACGTGATTAAGATGTGTTTGATTAAAAATAGGGCGCATATTCTCACAAAAAATTTCAAAGTATATGAAAAAAAATTTGAAAGTGAGTAAAACGAAAAGATAGTGAGCGTTTTCTACCTACTGGGCAAGCATATCATCGATCGCGAACAAATGGAAAAAATCGATGAAACCCACTATCTTATTGCATTAATCAAGACGTTTAATTTGATATGCGACACGCCATATTTTAAAAAACTCACCTTTATTGAAGACGTTTCAACACCTTTTTAAAAACTGATAATTATTTCAAATATGATAACAGCGCGGAGAGAGATAAGTCTCAAGACAGCGTACTGATAGATAAGCACGAAAGAAAATACCAGATATACCGATGTATCCGGCTTTTATACCTCCCTGATAATCTCGAAACCTTCTCCTAATCTCGAACGTGTCCCTAACGATTGATATATAAAAAAGGTCTCTTAAAGTTTATGTCTTTGCCATTAGAATCAGTGTTAAATTGAAGATTCAGCCTAGTATGAAACGTTTTCGTATTTAAAAATTAAATCGAGATACAAGTTGATAATAATGTCTGCTCGAAAGATGCCGAAAACACGTGTCACCTTATACGCGTAGTAAATTACTAGCTGAGACATGTCGGTTACTCGTTCATTCTTCGTTAATCTGTTGAGGTGTACGGAGGTGGTGCTTGCGAAGTTAAGAATATGGGAAATTGGGCTGGTGGTCGACTTTCTTCCTCACGTTAGCGTGACAGGTACCGCTTTCATGCGGGAGAGTACAACCCTTGGCGTCTGTAATACCAGTCCTAATAAGATAAGGGTTGTCGCCTTCAAGGGGTATGTATAGATAACGCTTTCGTTTGTGCGCATACGTGCGAACATATTTTTGTGGAATTGAGTTGCCGGGGGCTTCCAACTAATTATTGTGAGGCCCCCCTATGGCTATCAAAGAACCGCCCCCACCCCATTACCTGCCNGAAATACAACAGGTATAACAACCCCATCCTTGTAATTAATGTTACACGCGTTGTGCGCGGCGCCCCTGTAGTTATTTTCCGGAGACAAATGAAAATGGTCGCGGACTTTAACGTCCTCTGGCTTAAACGGCTGTTCACAGATGTGGCAATGGGTGGCTTTATGAAATTCAGCTTCTTGCGCTGACGTCATGGAAATATCGTAAGGGCATAAGAAAACCGTTTCTACGTCCTCAGCGAACGTAGACATTTCGCGCGCGAACCAAGACATACAGTCCTCACCACGATAAGATCTATAAAATGATAACGATGGATCGTATGAACACTTTACGTAGTACCCTACGGCAGCAGGCACGTGGTGTTGGTACTTGCTACCATCATCCACCTCTTTAAGGATACTCTCGAGGTCGGCATACACAACGAATGGTACTTTTTCTTTATTTTTAAAATTTTTAAATTTAAGGTCTTTTTGATCTTCAGTAGGTAGCCTGACTTTGCACTCATTCATTTCTTTGCAGTCGATGTAATGGCTGCTTAGTCTTTCCGTGGATGAAAAGTAGTGTAGGCATCTGTCACAGAAGAATTTTTTAGCACGATTTTTGCTAAGTTGAGAGGATGAGAGGCGTGACAGGTCCTTTATCCAGACGTAGTGGTATTTCGTTGGAGTGAAAAGGAATGTATTTTCATTGTCGACATCGTCTTGGTATTGATCTTGTATTAAAAGCAGGTTGACATGCTTATCCAGCTTATTTTTTGTCAAGTATGTTGGGAGGGTAGTAAAGCTGTTCACAATTTCCTTTAGAATATACACATTGATAGATATTCCGTTTTGCTTCTCAAACCTGGGTATCTGCTTCATTGTCATTGGGAACTGGATGCCTTTTAAATTTAGAACCGATGAGGGTTGAGGGTAAGACGAAATCCTATCGGGGTGATTTCGAAAATCAACTGCATACAAGGCCGATGTCACCGCCCACGCGAAGCAGGCGTCGTCACCATTTTTTACGTTGACGCATGCCTGCTTCTTCTTAATTGATGTAGGTAAGTTGATGTACGATGATCCCAGCTGTGGCGTGAACTTGTTTATATTGATTCCCAAATTGGTTATTGAATTTAATGCCCAAGGACTTAAACTGACATCTAAAGGATTTTATTTGGGCCAGCTGTGTCAATAGATGCTGCTTTTCGCCGACTGTCTTGACAGTTTTCAACTGATATTTTATATTTCGCACAGCTTTCGTGCACTGCCGAAGTCCATCTTTAACGGTTTCTTCACAATATGATTGTTTTAAAACACCGAGTAGGGTACATATTTGGTAATACAAATACTTCAGAATATCTGATGCAGCCATGATGCTATCACTTCAAAGACTGATGATAAACTGATTAGAAGGCGGTAGTAGAGGTGTAGTTATTATCTTTCAGCTAACTAGTGTCGGTGAGATATAATTTTGATACCTGAAAAGAGGTCACGTGATTAAGATGTGTTTGATTAAAAATAGGGCGCATATTCTCACAAAAAATTTCAAAGTATATGAAAAAAAATTTGAAAGTGAGTAAAACGAAAAGATAGTGAGCGTTTTCTACCTACTGGGCAAGCATATCATCGATCGCGAACAAATGGAAAAAATCGATGAAACCCACTATCTTATTGCATTAATCAAGACGTTTAATTTGATATGCGACACGCCATAATTTAAAAAACTCACCTTTATTGAAGAAGTTTCAACACCTTTTAAAACTGATAATTATTCAAATGTGATAACAGCGCGGAGAGAGATAAGTCTCAAGACAGCGTACTGATAGATAAGCACGAAAGAAAATACCAGATATACCGATGTATCCGGCTTTTATACCTCCCTGATAATCTCGAAACCTTCTCCTAATCTCGAACGTGTCCCTAACGATTGATATATAAAAAAGGTCTCTTAAAGTTTATGTCTTTGCCATTAGAATCAGTGTTAAATTGAAGATTCAGCCTAGTATGAAACGTTTTCGTATTTAAAAATTAAATCGAGATACAAGTTGATAATAATGTCTGCTCGAAAGATGCCGAAAACACGTGTCACCTTATACGCGTAGTAAATTACTAGCTGAGACATGTCGGTTACTCGTTCATTCTTCGTTAATCTGTTGAGGTGTACGGAGGTGGTGCTTGCGAAGTTAAGAATATGGGAAATTGGGCTGGTGGTCGACTTTCTTCCTCACGTTAGCGTGACAGGTACCGCTTTCATGCGGGAGAGTACAACCCTTGGCGTCTGTAATACCAGTCCTAATAAGATAAGGGTTGTCGCCTTCAAGGGGTATGTATAGATAACGCTTTCGTTTGTGCGCATACGTGCGAACATATTTTTGTGGAATTGAGTTGCCGGGGGCTTCCAACTAATTATTGTGAGGCCCCCCTATGGCTATCAAAGAACCGCCCCCACCCCATTACCTGCCTCTGCAGCCGCCCTCTGGACCCGTTTGCCGCTTTCCCTTAGCCAAACTGGTAAGTTTTTGTATTTTTTTTTAATTGTTTCAAGTCGCAAATTACTAATTATTTTATGAAAAATTATTTTATGTAGAAATTACGCCAAAACTGTACTTTACGTACTGTATGTAGAAAAATTATTAAAAATTAAATATGTCGTACTGTACTTTACTAAAAAGTAGAAAAATTACGAAAAATTATATAAGAAAAAAATATTTTATGAGAAAATTATGAAAAAAATACTGTACTTTAATAAAAAAGCAAAAAAAAGAATATGGAAAAATTATGAAAAAATACATCATACTGTACTTTACTAGAAATTAGAAAAATTACGAAAAATTAAAAATAGAAAAATTTTGTCTTATGCCTGAACCGTATAATTAATTCAGGCCATCACTTTCCGAGGCTAAATAACGTCAAACTGAACTTTAATAAAAAAAACAGAAAAATTATTTATTAAAATTTATGTCAAAACTATACTTTACTAAAACTATACTTTAATAAAAAATTAAATATAGAAAAATTAAATATGCAAAAATTATGAAAAATGACGTCAAACTGTACTTTATTAAAAAATAGTGGCAAAAAATTATTTTACGAAAAATAAAATCCAAATATTTTTTATGTAAAGAGAAAATAGTAATTTTAATTGTAAGGAAAGACCCTATAACGTTCAATTCCAATCTAAGTCGCAACGGATCTGTTTAGTTTGAAACACTGCCGTTGAGATGTTTGAATTGCGTTAAGAGTATGGTACCGAACAATTATATTTTGAATTTGCCCTAACCACAAGACAGCCATTTTTATCGTTTCGATAGCCCGAAGGCCTTTCGCGTTCACGGGCGGATTTAAGTTTTTCGCGTGTGGCTGAAACCTTTTTTCGTTGGCAAGGAAAAATCCAATGATTACCCTTAGGTAATCGTTTAAGATAGACCCCTACACGACACGGGTACCTTATCAAGCCAGCATATTTAACTGTGTATTGAATCGGTACAGACGACGCGATCTGAAATGCAGAAAAATCTAGCAACTTACCCTTCGTATGCCTACTTTCTTCGTGTCTCTGTCATTTCATGCCTCTGTAGCCGAAATTCATGCCTTTCTGTCCTGGTTAGACTTTCAACTGCCTATAAAATTAATGCTTTAGATTTTAGCCGCCATCTTGTTGTTGAATAATTTGTAACTTTATATAAAGACCCTGTAGCAATTGTTTTTGCTCAACTGCTAAAATAACACCCTGTATAATACTGGTTTTAAATAAAATTTTAATCTGATTTTGGTTTTGATTTTTTATGATTCTAGTAAATTGCCTTTATCTTTTTTCTATAAAGATTCATCTAATTACTGTTTAATTGTTTTTGGTTCATTTTTTCAGTTATTATAATAATAAAGCCCTGTATTTAATTTTCGGTTAGTTAACGTTTATTACGATTAAG